GTGAGGGGAGAATGTAATATACTTTCGTATATAACCTATATCAAACTGATATAGATAACTTTGTTCTCATAAGCAATAATTTAGCTATTAAGTGGAGGCACTCAATAAATCATTTTGCTAAACCAACTGTGATGTAAACCAACTTATCAAGAAGAACTATCTTGAATAAAAATCTGGAAATTATGCTCTAAATCAAATTATTGAGCAAGTTACCTCGCAAACACCATGTTGCGGGTTAATAATAATCGCACATGTAACCATCTTATAGATGCATCTTATGTGGTATACATGGCAGGTGAATAGGCCCATATTCACCTTTGATATTTCCAGCATTCATGGGATTCAATCCCAATTTTAATTGGTCTATTAATTAATGAGAACAAGCAATGTAAGAGAATTCGTAAAGAACTTTCTAGTTCTTTAATATTTACCCATGTGAATTCTCTTTTATTTTTGCACATCATACTTGAATTAACATGGCTAAACCAATTATGCCAACTGGATAAATTATCAATATTGATAAACTTCAGGTTTACACCATGATGTGTGCAATTATGAATAAACTCCAAGTTTATTATGATATGGGTTTTTATATCAATAAATATCCACTTCATTGTGGTATTCTTTTGTTTATGTAGTACAAATTGGAGAATAAAGCGGGTAGCTTTTCACATACATATTACCCCGCTACAAGTTGTAGTAATAGAAGATATTAAATCTTTCCTTTATTTATAGTCTCAATATAATCAACCGCTTTCGCGTATACGTTGGAAACTGAATAAGTTTCTTTGAGACTTACTACAACACAATACCTTATTAGTAATTAATTGTGTTTCTCCAAAATAGTATAATTGGCTCTTGCAGAGTTCTCAATTAATTTTGTAGTACCACATATTCATCAACATCCATATGGTGAATATCTCTTTCAAAGAGAAAGTTATACCATTATGGTTATGGTCAAAATTATATGCAAGATCTGTTTCTTGCATTACCGTTGTCTTTTAACAATCACAATGCCAAAATATTTTGGCGTACAATAGGTACGTGACCAATGACCATTCATGCCATAATAATGACATTATTTTCTTATATCATCTCAAACCTCCTTCTAGAGGTGAGTGTGGTATATTCACTACCACTAGCACGTTCATATTCTTTGAAGAATGAATATGTATTCATAAATCAGATGTTGTCATATTCACATCATGAATGGACCATAATCATCTATATTTACTTTATAAAATCCCATGTCAAATCGATGACAAATATTACTTTCACAGAGTGAAGGATTATTTTGAGAATCCTTATTATTCTCACTACCACAAATGATGACGATTATAATTTCGTCTATTGCCACGTCCATATCCGTTGATACATTCATAGTAATAATTTTGTCTTCTTTCAGACTTATCACATATTGCTATCACATTCTCTTAAGGGAATGAGAATGGAGCAAATTCAATGGGACGGGTTTTCAATTCTTTGCCCACAATCATACATGAATTTGATCATGGCGGGCATAGAAATTTTACCACTTCAGGTGGTTATAATTTCTTACAAACTCCATTAGAGTTATATCAAACTTTGTTGTCTTATTTAAAATCAAAGTATAGAATAAAAGAGAAAAATACCGTAAAATACTTACCTTAAATCTAGAATTTAATCACAAAGGAAGTTCATGGAATAATTGACAATCATTATGCTCAATCCCAAATCTTCTACTCAATTGGTTAGAGTCTCGTGCTGATAACGTGTTATGAAATAATAAAAGAAGAAGAAGAGTATTGCAGAGAAAAGTAGAGGGAGAGAATTCTTATTGATTTGGGATGAATTACAATGGAATAGAACCCTCTATTTATAGGGAGAGGGTGACTTAGCCACCAAGCAATGAACCCTAGAATCTCTCTAAATATAGACATTCACCATAAATATAATTCTATTTATAACAATAGATTATTTGTGTTCTAATTGTAGATGCTTTATTTTCTATTTTCACAAATAAAAAACGGCTAAAACTTCTACAAATCTTCTGAAAAAACACAATTATGTCAAAAATCCCAATTATGCTACAATTGAATGGGAATTGGGATATAAAAATTCAATGTACCCAGTTTGTAGATATTTTGTAGATAAATTGTAGATTATTTGTATTCTAATTGTAGATGCCTTGTTTTCTGTTTTCACAAATAAAAAACGATTAAAACTTCTACAAATCTTCTGCAAAAAATGCAATTATGTCGAAAATCCCAATGAAACTACAAGCGAATGGGAATTGGGATATTAAAATTCAATATAAGCAGTTTGTAGATATTTTGTAGATTATTTGTAGATTATTTGTATTCTGATTGTAGATGCTTTATTTTCTGTTTTCACAAATCAAAAACGACTAAAACTTCTACAAATCTTCTGCAAAAAATGCAATTATGTCGAAAATCACAATTAAACTACAATCGAATGGGAATTGGGATATTAAAATTCAATATACCCAGTTTGTAGATATTTTGTAGATGAATTGTAGATTATTTGTATTCTGATAGCAGATGCATTTTTTTCTGTTTTCACAAATCCAAAACGACTAAAATTTCTACAAAATCTTCTGCAAAAAACGCAATTATGTCGAAAATACCAGTTAAGCTACAATTGAATGGGAATTGGGATATTTAAATTCAATGTACCTAGTTTGTAGATTCTTCCACCATTGCAAAAGCTCAGTTCGTCGACATTCTCTATGTGGCATAGGAATGTAAAAATTTTATATATATATATATATAGAGAGAGAGAGACCATTCAAAAATAAATTCTTCTATTTTCTATTATGCATGAATTGCTAAGATGATCTCTAAGTGTGTCTGCGCAATGTAATAAGCTTGTACTATATTTATTGTATGTATATCACATTAATTTTTAAGAAAGCTGATGTCGATTTTATGGATTCATCTATGTCTACAATTTTTGGGCAGCTTATGGCTCGCTTTTTGCTCAATATTTGAATCTGAAAATTACTTGCTATAAGTAAGCAGTTCAATTTAGATGACGCTTTTCATTTTTGAAGATTTTCAAGCATTAACATCTACTGCACCTTTTCTTTTGAATTTATCTTTTTTAGTATTAATATCTTAATATATTTTCTATTATTACCTACAGTTAAATTAATTTATCTTAAACTCGTAGTCCAATAGTATAACAGAAATGAATTTTTGGGAGAGAGAGAAACGTGGGATGAGTGGGGATACTTATCTATACAGATTCCTTTAGTTAAGGAGTAAAAAATATATAATTAATTATATCCTTAATTAATTATGGTATAAAATTATTAATTTGGCATACTAAGTGTAATTAAGTCAAACCTTAAACATTGAGGGTAATAAGGTTTCCTATGTGGCATAGGAATGTAAAAATTCCTTTAAAATATATTCAATTATTAAAAATGTAAAAGTTAGCTAGTTTTGGCAAATTTCTAACTGCTTTTGCTGCTGCTTCTTTTTCAAGCCTTCATGTTTGAGATTTTGAATCGTGAGAGCCTAAATTCGTACTCGAAGGTCTGAAGTTTAAACTACGATAGCTTACTTTCGTCTGAGGCCTGAATTTAAATTGCATTAAAACTTCTATCTACAATTCGGTACTAAGTTTGATTTTTTTTGGTAACAAATGTGAATATTACCATTATAAGCAGAAAAACATTTTTTACAACCTATGAGCCTCTAGTGTCTGAAACAGATACAGACACCAGATCTCCAAATATATCAATATTATCTATTTATATATTCTCTGAAAAAACACTTTGCATTTCCTATCTCTTCTTCCCCTATACACTATCTCCACTCTGTCTAGTATTTCTCTCCTAATTTGATCATTTACAAGATTTTTGCTCACATTTACTTTCCTGAATATTTTCCAATTCCTTGCTTGCCAGGTATAATACAGCATGACACCCCATACATCAGCTACTATTTCCTTCTGAACTTGGCTCCATCTTCTTCTTTGGATCCATTTGACCACCTTACCAGCTTCATTATTATGAATTTTGATATCCAACCAGCTACTCAATTTTTCTCTGAGGCCTGCTATCCATTTGCATTGTCCAAAGAGGTGAGTCTGAGTCTCCACCTGATTCTGATCACATAAGCAACATTTTTTATCTTCTACTTTTAACTGCATTCTCTGCATCCTCTCTTTGGTTAGCAATTTGTTTTGACATGCCAACCATACAATAAATATCTGTTTAGGAAGCATCATTTTACTCCATATTAGCTTTACTTCCCTTATCTTAGATAGAGCCCCCAACATATGCTGATAGCTCTTAGACACAGAGTATTCTCCTGTTTTTGACAGCATGTATTTATCTCCTGATACCATCCTGCCATTTGAAGCTTAAGAGAGTTCAATTTCTTCCAATACCAGCTACAGTATACTGGTGGTTGGTGTTCCCATATGTTTGCCTTATCCTTTATGTATATACTGTTAACCCATTTGACCCATAGTGTGTCTTTTTTCCTAGCTAATTGCCATAACAGTTTGCCTACTGCAACAATGTTCCATTTACAGCAGCTTTTGATGTTTAAACCTCCATTCTGCTTAGGAATACAGACCCTATCCCAAGCTACTAGGTTAACCTTTCTTTTGTCTTCAGTGGTACCCCACAAGAAGTCTATGCATTTCTTGTCCACAAGCTTTACCACACTTTGAGGCAGAATATACACAGCACTCCAGAAGTTGTATATAGAGAATAGAACAACCATTATTATTTGCAATCTCCCAGCATATGACAGTTGCCTTGTGTAAGCTGTGATTTTGCTTGTGATCTTATCAACTAGTTGCTTGCAATCCATCTTATTCCACTTCCTTGATGTAAGAGGAAGTCCTAGGTACCTTATAGGAAAGGTCCCTAACGTGAACCCGGTAATCTTCAGCATATTCTGCCTTGTCTCCTCATCAACCCCTGCTACAAACATGCTAGATTTGTCTATGTTTGCTTCCAAACCTGTGACATCACTGAAATGCTATAATGCCTCCATCACTCTAGCTATGGATTTCAGATTTCCTTTGCAGAAAATCATCAAATCGTCTGCAAATACTAAGTGAGTTAACCTTGTTTCCTTACACATGGGGTGATATCTGAAGTCAGGGAGTTCACTCATCTTACCAAGAACCCTTGACAGATATTCCATTACTAGAACAAATAATAGGAGTGAGATAGGATCCCCTTGCCTAAGCCCCCTCCTGCCTTTAAAATAACCATGGTTTTCTCCATTAATTCTTATAGAGGACTGGGTTGTAGTCACACAAGTGATCACCAGTTTAGTGAATGAATCTGGAAATCCAAATCCTTTCAGAGCTTCCTCTATGAAATCCCAGTTGATCATATCATATGCCTTTCTCAAATGAATTTTCATAAGGCATCTAGGAGATGTTTTCCTATTATAGTGTCTCAGTAAATCATGGTAGATAAGGACATTATGAATAAAAAATCTACCTTCAACAAAAGCTACATGGTTCTCAGCTACTAGTATTGATACAGCTTTCTTGAGCCTCTTGCACATCATCTTGGAAATGCATTTGTATATGACATTGCAGCAAGAAATTGGTCTGAATTGACTTGCAAACTCTGGGACTAGGACTTTGGGAATCAAAGATATTACTGTTGAGTTGACTTTCCTTAACAGTTTTCCATTCTCCATGAATTCCAATATTGCTGCAGTAACATCATTACCAATGATATTCCAAGCTTCCCTGTAGAAACTACTTCCATAACCATCTGGACCTGGACTTTTGTTCACATCTATACTGAACATAGCTTGTTTCACTTCCTTGACTATGAATGTTTGTATGAGTTCCATCTGCTGTGTAGAATTCAGAGTAGTGCCATTCTTCAGAAAGCTATGAAATGCTTTAGCTCTTCTTCTTCCTTCCCTTCCTAGCATAGTTTCATAGTAGTCTACCAGAACATTTGCTATGCTTACATTATCTGTTGCTAATTCCCCATGTTGATCCTTGATTTGTGTCATGGCTTGTTGCAGTCTTTTGTGCCTGATTACTGAGTAGAAGTACCTAGTGTTGTCATCTCCTAGCTTAATCCATCTTGCTTTGCTTCTTTGTAATAAAAACATTTCAGCTAGATAAGAGGAATTCCTGAATTTCTGATACATAGCTATCTCTTGTTCTTGTAAAGCTTTATTAGAGGGGTCAGAATGCAATCTATTCTGGACTTGGTTTAAAGCTGCCCTATCTTCCTCAGCCTCTGTTAAGATATTCCTGAAGTGCTGTTGATTGAGCTTCTTCAGTGCCTTCTTTAGTAACTTCAGTTTCTTAACTACTTGAAACATACTGTATCCTGCTACTTGTTGTTGCCATCCTTGTATTACAACCTCTTTAAACTGAGGGTGTAAATCCCACACATTACAGAATTTAAAAGCTCTAGCCCTCTTCCCCCTTCCTGTATCTTTACTTATTCTCAGTGGACAATGATCACTTATTCCCTCCACTAGATATGTAGCCTGGACCACTGGCATATGATCCAGCCACTCTCTATTGAAAAAAGCCCAGTAAATTTTTGAAAAAACTCTATTATCACCATGTTTGTCATTCCATGTGTATCTATAACCTCCACATGGTAACTCCATGAGTTCACAAGAGTCAATACACTCTTGGAAATCCATCACTTCTCCCATAGTAACTAGATTTCCTCCTATTCTATCATCTGCTTGTGGGACAGAGTTGAAATCCCCTGTTACCAACCATGGTTGCTTTATTCCTCCACTCATACTTTCTAAGTGTTGCCATAAACTTCTTCTTTCATCCCTTGTATTAAAAGCGTACACAGTTGTCATATAAAACTCCTTCTGCAGAACAACATCTGTAACTAGGCATGTTATACTTTGGGCAGTACCACTTATGTACCTGACTTGATAGTAATCAGGTCTCCATGCTACAACTACTCGACCATTGTAATGGTGATGCAGATTTGTAATGTACTTCCAACCTTCAAACATATTGTTTATTACTCTCTCCATATTGCTAGTTTTCACCTTAGTCTCTAGTAAGTTTACTAAACCTGTATTTTCATTAGTACAAAGGAGTTTTACCTCCTTTTGTTTGTTAGGAGCATTTAAGCCCCTAACATTCCAGCTTAGCATGCTATCCATGACCTTTTGGAGATAGGACAGTGCCTCCCCCATTTGAGACTTGTCTGCTTTGTGATTGTCTACTTGTACTGTTCTCACTTAGCACACTGAAAGTGTTGTGTCCAGCTGAAGAATGTTGTATTTGTTCCTTAGGAGACTTCCTTGTGTTATGAGGTGTAACCCATCCTTCTGCATTCATCTTTCCTCCTATAGTTTTTGTTGGCTCCTTCTCCCCTACTGGCTTTGTGATCTCAACTCTTGTTACTACTTCTGCTTTGTTCTCTTCCTTCTCTTTGTTAGTGTTTTTTCCTTCTGGCTCAACAGTTTGTTGCTTAGGAGGGAGTGTTTGCTTCTTCCTTCTACAATCTTCCTCTAAGTGACCATACTTGTGACAATGTTTACATAGAACTGGCTTCCAATCATATTGGATTCTCTGTTCAATCAAAGCACCTTTTTCATTCCTGAATTGCAATTTGTCAGGCAGGGGAGAATCCACATCTACCTCAATAAGGAGTCTAGCAAAATTGAGATCTATCTTGTTCTCTGTATTCCTGTCCACCATAAGAGGCTTGCCTATCATGCTTCCTATCTTGCTAAGCCCTTTAGGTCCCCAATACTTGAAATCCAATCCAGGTAGTTTCATCCAAATTGGGATAGTATAGAGTTCCTCCCTGGTAAACTCCATATCCTTATGCCATTCCTTGACAATAAATGGCTTATTGTCAAAATGATAGATCCCTCTCTGCAGCACCTCATCTTTCCCAATCACATTGTCAAATCTCACCAAAACTATCCCATTTTTCAGCATTGAGACCTTGTTGATGCCATGTTTACCCCCACTGTCTTTGTATGTAACTGTTAAGCACATTGAAAGGAGGGTGTGCTCCCAGCACATAACAAACAATGGTATTTTTCCAAAAATCGATTTCAGAAGTAATGTCCTCCAGTTCGATCTCACAAATTATTGTATTTCCATGCTTACTTGGATTCACATATTCCAATTTGAAGCCAGCATTCGCAACTTTTGTGATATCAAAGTTTTCCCAAATTGATTTCTTAGCCCTAGTTTCTATTACTTCTTCAGCTTCATCTGCCCATGATTTCCTGCCAGTGTTGTTTCGCACACGATTTCTCCCAGATTGTTGTATCTGTATTCCTTCCTCCCATTCCTGCACGACCGTTTTCAATTTTTCCACTTCTCCTACAGTTTTATTTTTCTCCGCCATTACTGTTCCATTGGAGCTTGCCATTACTGTTCCATTGGAGATTGCTTCAATTGCTGAATCAATCTCCAATTGTGATGGTAATTCAACTCTGCATGTCGTTTCTTGTTGATTATCTTCCTTTTCCTTGCCTCGAACTTGCTCAATTTCAACTTCCTTAGTCGCCATTTTTAGGTTTTGACTGTTACTGCAATTCTCCATTACTTCATTATTTACTTGATTTCCTCGCTTCTTCGTCGGATTTTTTGCTTGTTTACATGATTCTCTTGCTTCGATAATCTTCTGAGTAGGAATCCGAGTCCTTTTCCCATGGATGCGCACGTTTAGTTAACATGCGCCGAGAGAGAAACAGAGTCCTTTAAGATTTTCCCCTATTACCAAGAAAATTTCTAAGTAAGTTTGATTTTGATATAGCTAAACTTTAAATTTTTAAAATTTTAACTATTCTTTAAATTGCGGTCCTAATTAATCCGACTGTTTGTGCAGTTTGCCTCGGCAGAATTGAAGAACAATTCTCCTTAAAGAGATATGATATTGTTTGTATAACGTTTAGAAAAATACAAATTAAATAAGTTCAGTCGAGATATAATAAAATCATTGTATGTAGCAAATTCACTTAGTCGCTTCTTAAGGAAGCCTAACTTTATAAAACTAAAAACACAGTCTTTTTAATATATAAAATCTTCACGCTCATTTTTGTCTTCCTATGTAGGACAATCAAACTTACATGTTTTGCAAAAAATATGACATCCCTGATTAATTTTTAATAATTATTTGGATTTTCTCATCAAAATGGTCCAAGCTTGTACCTGGCACTGGCGCTAGACATTTATATCTACTAGTTTCAGAGTACGCGCGTTGCGCGTGTATACATATCGATGAGTAATTAATATTTTTTAAAAATTGAAGAAACATTATATTACAACCTATAAGAGTTACGCAATAAAATTTAAGTTTCTGAAATGAATGAATGTTGATCCTATGTAGCTAACTCAATAATGGAAGAAACTCTGTCTGATAGAAATTTTCAATCATCATACGATATATTCAACCCAAACTTATTTCCAATTCTATGATTTCATCGCTTAATTTTCACAAATTATCATGCTACCTCAAACCTTAACTTAAAATGATTATGATAACAAATGTGAAATACCACCAAAATGATCCTTTAATGATTATTTTTATGAGATAAGGGAATTATTTACCTAAATCGATAAAATTGACAAAATTCTACAATGACAAAAATTACCAACGTCTATTCTTAAATAGCACAATTTTGAATCTTGTAATAATACAGGCAATTAAAAGTGATAACTAAATTTATTTTTTCTTATAATATATGAGCAATTTGAGTTGGCATAGCAATTTAATAATTATTAATATAATATGGATAAGCATAATCTTGAATTAATAAGATCTTTAATTGATATGAATTAGAATATCTAACCAATTATTTGTTACATAATACATGCAATGACCAAAACAATCTATAACAAATCTATGAATAGGATAATTATAAACTAATCGTGCATAAGACATCGTATACAAAAGTCACAACTAACGACATTTTAATTTACAATTATCTATCAAAAAATACATGAACATCTATAATTAGATAACTTAACGAACAACTTAATGGTTAGAATGTTTACTGAAATCACAAGTTTACCTTCGTTAATGTTGACTCTATCAAAACTTTATGATAAGTATGTGGAACGATAATTTCTTTTATAGAAGAATTGTTCTAACTCCTCCTTGTTTTAAATGGATTTGATTTTAAAATCCTAAAAAATAAAAAAATAAAAAAAATTGGCTTTTATATTGCAACAATTTCGGTAAATAAATACTAAACGTGAAGTGACATTAATTGCTTGATATTTTTGGCAAAAAAATTTAAACCTAAAATGACATTAATTGTTGGTGGAAAACAGACATTTTTACACTAGAAAATTTCCCAACCGTAACTTTAGAGAATAAAATTATATCATTATTCTCCTAATTCGAAAGAACTTCAGTTAATGGAATATCTTTGACGTTGGCAAATATAGTAGAAAAGAACTCATGCAGCCGCAGTTTTGGTAAAATAATAGAAAACTTATAAAATAAAATAATTGATTTTAAAATCCTAAATATTAGGAAAATAATTTAATGACTATTCCTAGATATTTAGGACAATAATTAAATGATTATTCCTAGATATTAGGATAATAATTAAATGACTATTTTGTCCAATGTGAATACTATTTTAAAGGGTAAAAAAGGCGAACGATATTTCGCTAAAGGCTCGTGCTTTTAATGTGCGTTGCACGTAAGTAATGACACGTGATGTTTTAGTTAATTGTTTTTATGAAGGCACTAAATCTAATTATTGATAGAAATATAAATAATACAACAACTAAATATATATAATGTGATAATTACTAAAATGCCAAAAAATATTACTCCTATTACATTAGCATAATACGTGAATTAAAATTAATTGGAAACCTTCGAGCCTGCACAAATGATCAGTTTAGTCACGTTAGTTAGAATACTATTATGTACTTATATTTTATAAATATGTTATGTGATGATATCTTACCTAAAAAAAATTGTAGACGATGTTCTTTGTGTATGTTTCCTTCTGACGGCTGAACAACCTTTCACCATATATGTTTATTGTTAAATTTATTATTTCTTATTATATTTTAGTGTGTATATAATAGGCACAAAAATTCTTCTAGTGATACAATATCAAATTTGTAATAGGTTAGGTTGTAAACTCTCTAAATGCTTAACGATTTTCTATTCAATTAGGAACCATTGCAGATTTTAAGTTGTATAAATTTCACTGTATGCCTTCTCTCTCTTCCACTTAGTCATAGTTCGTACGTCTTTGAAAGCCAATAGTAAAAACATATGTTTTAGTAAGTTTTAAATTCCTTTTGACAGCTAAGTTCTTTCGGTTTTGTTTTACGTTGTTTTAGTTTACTTTGAGGCTTCATGATGCATTAGCTTTTTTTTTTTTTTTAAGTTGTCAGTTGCTTTTAACCAGAGAGTTGAAGTTATTAATTTAAAATTGATATTCTATTACTGTTGGGATTACATGACCACGTTTGGGCTGTTGGTGTTGCTTTCTTTGTATTTGAGCCTGACCCAGTTTATTTTATTTATTCATTTATGAATAGGTTAGTCAAGAGGCCCAATATATATATATGGGACCATATACGGAAGTTTCTGCATTTTAGAATTTTGGTTCACTTTACAAAAATATGAAATACTTTCTCTCCAATTTCCTTTCTTCTCTCAAGCCCTAGCTACAATTTTATCAATTTCGAATGTTAACATGGTATCAGAGCGGGGAATGCGATGAATCTCGTCATTCTCTATCTAGCGATGTTACCCTCATTTGTTTTCGTTGAGTTTTTCCTCCTCGTCGGAGATTTCTGATTTCGCCAGAAATTCACGATTTCTTAGATTTCTGTCGGAATTTTTAGAAGTTTTTGTGTGGATTTCTTCTCCTCTGCTGCCCGAGTTTTGCTTTCGAGAATAAAGTTTTGGTATTCACTCAGTTTCGTCATCTCGATTTCACCGGAGCTAAAGTCGATTGCGTCTCAATTTCACCGGAGCTAAAGTTGATTTCTGCTGAATTTTATTACCAAGGCCTTTGCTTCTTCAGGCTGC